CTGAATATGCGCTGCACCTGCTGCCTACTTATACTCATGCTGTGATCAGCAGCAGCTGGATGCAATAATTGCATGCCAATGTGCATTGGCTCTTTTAGTTTACACTCGAAGTAGATTGGTCCCTGTAAGCGAGATCCCAATTCTTCGGTCCTCCGACGTGACGTCTCCGTTCCCTCCTTCAGGGAACGAGGGTTACATACGTAACCGAGACGTTCTTCTGAACTTCCTATTCATTAAATAAACCTGAAAAAAATCTACTCAGCTGTTTTCAACATAATAATAAAAAATGTTTTTTGAGCAGCAAATCAGAATATTTGAATGATTTCTGAAGGATCATGTGACTGGAGTAATGATGATAAAAAAATTCAGCTTTGAAATCGCAGGAATAGATTACCTTTAAAAATATATTCAAATAGAAAACAGTTATTTTAAATAGTACAAATATTTCACAATATTACTGCTTTTGCTGTATTTTGGATTTAAAAAAATGCAGGCTTGGTGAGCAGAAGAGAATTCTTTAAAAAAAACATCTTAAAAACATAAAAAAAAATCTTACTGTTCAAAAACTTTTGACTGGCATAGTGATAATCTTTTTCATAATGAAGCGCCGCGACAACGTGATGCTATATTAACAACAAGAGAAACTGATCGCCCATGTAGCTACAATAAACTTTATAACCTGCAAACTGGTGAAAACGTGATGCTATTAATTTACTGCCTCAGAGTATCTGCCCTTCTAATAATGGACAAAACACAGATCTCTGTCACTCGCTCGTCAAAAACCTCAGTAACTTCATTTGAGTATGATTTTCAGAAAGTAAGTGAAAGTGTCTAATCATATATAAAGCCAAAATACCAGCTCTGATGACGCAATGTTTAATTATTGTAAAAATAAAAAATACATTTCCCCTTTCTATATTTTTTTTTGTTTTTTTTGTAATGCTCAGTGGTGTGCCGTGGGATTTTTTACACATCAAAACTGTGCCGTGGAAGAAAAAAAGGTTGGGAAACACTGTTAAAACACTTTTAAAAAGTTTGCCAGGTGGCTAAATGATGCCTGTGTTAATTTGTTGTGGCTAAATGATGCCTGTGTTAATTTGTTGACCAAGTACTGTACGTTTTACTCTTAAGTACAGTCCAGTTTTTTTTTTTTACTTTTTGAGTACAGTGCAGTTTTTATTTAACTTTTAGGTTCAGTACATTTTAATTTAATCATTTAAGTTTTTTTATTTACCTGTATGTAAGCACAGTGCAGTGTTAATTTTCAAACTGTATTTACAATGTTTAAAGTGGCTAATAATAAATATTCTTATTAGGAATAAAACTGCCTCATTTTTTAACTGTGCATAGCAGTAGCTGAATAATTAGGCCTACTACGCTACTGTATTTTAATGTCAGTCATTATGGTGGTACTTGGAGAGCCAAATATTTTCTGAGGTGGTACTTGGTGTAAAAAGTTTGAGAACCACTGGTGCAAGTAATGAAGATAATAAACTTCAACTGTGAGCTTCTATCACTTCAGTTGTCAGCACACTCCACTCGAGCTTATTTAAAAGTATCACATTGGTCAAAACACTCTGTTAAATCAGAAATGTATCGTTCAAAGTATACAGTAATAAATAAGCAAGGTAATTTTGTTCCATTTCTGTAATATACTGTTTTGACCACTTCTACTTCCCATCAACATAAAGACACCCCTTCCAACCTCAACAGCATGTGAAAGTCTCTTCAGCACTTCAGGATTGTTATTTAGTCCCAGAAGAGCAAAACCGAACAGCAGCAATTTTGAAAATCAGCACCTGTTTAAGCTGAGCACGAAGTTTCACCATTCTGAAAATAAAATGATGTGGTAGCGTTTTTGGAGGAAAATGAGAATCTCTCCTGACTGTTTACAAGTAATTCTTCTGAGAATGACAAAACGCACAACAGTTGCCATCTAACTTTACTTCCAAACTACTTTAATTGTTTTCTTACCAGAAACGTGATGTTTCGAGCTGATTGCTCATTTTGTTTTTGGTTGTGCATATGATCGTGACATGGTTCTGAGAATCATCATGACTGGTGATTAACAGAATATTCCGCGATACAATTCAATAGAAAATGTTTTTTTTTTAGGTAAATGATTTCAACAAAATGTATTGGTTGTATGTTGATTTCATAGCAAACACAAAACAAAGATCATTTTCTTTTGATTAAATTACATATTACAGTCTGTTATCGCTCTTATTTTATAAACAATATATATAATTTGAATTCTTCTTATTGACTTGACAAGACAGTAAAGAGATCTTACACACCATGCTAAACTGTTGCTCTATGGACTGAAAGCTATTTGTTACCAAATAAATTATTTAAACAGGTGCAGGAAAGAGCTGCGGTACACTGCCAATCATAAATGTGTAGTTGGCAAACAATAAATCCATGGGCTTTTTTTCCAACACTTAAGTTTACAGTTTAGATGCACTTTCTTTAAGTTTCTAACCATTTTTATAACTATTTGACCTTTGCTTGTTTCTTTTAAACAGCCTTGCGGTGTGACAAATGAATTTGAAAAAGTACAAATTATGAATTAATATGAGGTCATAAAAGCAAGTGCATCATAATTGCTGTTTAAAGTCGTTTTAGATGGAGTACTTTAGTCGTTCACACTCTACAAACATTCCCAGAAATATTTCAACTACCCGAATATTATTGCACGATAATGGAGATAACCCTCATCATTCTGATGATACACAGTGTATTGGGAAGGCCACATGGATCTGAATTCAAAGAATTATTCACTGAGCTCCCAGCAATTAGCACCTGAATGAACCTCCTCATATGAACAACAATAAGGTTGATGATGTGGAACAAAAGACTGTGTGTATCACATTAAATGTTTAAAATAATAATATATAAGAGAGTTTTACACCAGTCTTGACAACATCACAGTCTATATACAGAAGCATGCTGAAGAGAAAGACACCTACCTTGGTCTTCTTGTTTCCTAGGTCTTGTCTTTCTCTGTGAAATAAGAGAAGGGCGAGAATGTCATTAACAGATTCTCTGCAATATGAACACACTCAGCTATTATTATCTGCTTTTTGCAACGCTGATAAAAACATTGTCAAAGTGAATTTACAACATCTAACATCGATTCTGTTATTCCTGTTTAAGACTGCATTCTGTCAGTAGAATGAACATACATTTAAATGAAAATAAAACATACTTCAGACAGCATTATACAATACTTTTCCTCTTTCTTCCAAATATCCGTAAAGGAAGATCATTTTATATTGCAGTCTGGAAATACCATCTTTGAAGTGTATTACATGGACAAATTATTTAGATTTAGATGAAGTTGTCTGTGGTTTCACCTGTGGTTTTTGAACAGCAGCACCTGAAATCATGATGAAAGAGGAAAAGAACAATTGTAAAGGCAGCAAAAAGACTGTACATGCACAAATTACAAATCTGTGGCTAATGTTTAAACAAATCTTAATCTAAAGTTTAGACTATTATAGACCTCTTCAGCAAATAAATACAGTAGAATTATTTGCTTTATATCTAGAGAGCCATAGTAAGGGGATAATCACACAGGTTTTTTGTTCTTTAAAATTATTATGACTTGTTTGTTTATTTTACTATTGTTGTTGTTTTTGCTTTGTACTCCTTCCTTTGTATGTTAAATATATGTATGTGTTGCATTTTTCCAAAAATGTGACACTCAAGTTAAAAGAAGGTCAATATATATATATATAGAGAGAGAGAGAGAGAGAGAGATATTAGGGCTGGGTTTTGACACAAATTTCGCCATTCGATTCGATTCAATATCGATTAGTTTGGATATATATCAGGTACAGTACATGCCAAATTTTCTCAAGGAAAAAAAATCTCTCAACGATTGCTGTAAAATATACACGAGAGTCAGTTGGTACTACATTACTATAACATTGAAGGTTAAAATTTACTGATTTGTTAAAATTACTAATAATGAAGTTTTTAAAATAATAAAGTTACAATTACATAATATTTCTACATTTTGGAAATATAAACATAATGGTGGCTGTCATAAAAACTTGATTGATTGATTGATTTATTTATTCAAACAAATTAAATATTGAAGAACAGTAAAATTTATAATGAATATGTTATATGGTGCATATATTTAGCAAAATGTCCCTTTCTACAGTTTATTTTTCTATCTGATTAATGAGCTTATGGTCACCAAATATGTATTTTCTGAGGTAAATGTGACGTTACATGACATTGTTTACAAGATGTTATATTGACGTCTTTGCGCTGCTGAAACACTTATTGAGCGATTACATGAGACAGGATACGGATTGTAAAGTTGTAGTCTTTCTTTTAACTTACCTTCGGATGTTTAGTCATGATTATTTTGTGCTGAAACTGGTATTAATGTGGCGGAGATGATCAGTTCACATGCGCTACGTGCTGGCGCGTCTGTTGATCGAGGCACTACAGTGATCTGTCACTCCACATTAAACAGCGCTAAAATGACATTTATTGTTTGAATATTGCAATACAATGGACAGAATTTGAAATCTGAGACTTTGTTTCATATTAAAAGTACCAAAGCACAATGCTTATTGCTATATATTGGATGGGAAGTGCCCCAACGTAAAAATGAGAATTGATTAATATCAAGATACCCAGCCCTAATATATATACACATATACAATACACATATATATATAATACCCAGCCCTAATATATATATATATATATATTGGGTACAACGGGGCTAAAGGCACACCTTAAAGGGTCATGAAACCCCAGACTACTTTTTCTGAGATTTTAGCAGAGATGTTTGTGTTGCACATCATAGAAGACAATGTTAGCATCCGATAATTTTAACTGTTGGAGAAAACTGGTTAATTTTAAGGTTTTTTGCGCTATTTTCATCTTCCAGGTTTAAAATCTACATTGTGTTGACGTCACAATTTGTGACGTGGCAATGGACTAATAGTACATCGATGATGCGTCGGTGTATATTAAATTGTTCATGAGACTGCGTGTTCTTATCCAATGAGAAGACGCTTCGCTTAATCATTCACACCAGCATGTGTTGATTTGCTATGACAGATGCTTCAGATTGTGAGATGACATCACGCACATTAACTGAGAGAAACGTTTATATTGAACATTAATGGAGCAACATATTTTGTGTGAAAATAAATCATTCAAGTTGTTATTTTGTTTAAAAATCTTATAAATGTATGAATGTACCCACACACGGGGTAAAAGGTTCACCAGCATGAAAGAGTTTACATGAACAACTCGAAACTTGAATATATATATATATATATTGGGTACAACGGGGCTAAAGGCACACCTTAAAGGGTCATGAAACCCCAGACTACTTTTTCTGAGATTTTAGCAGAGATGTTTGTGTTGCACATCATAGAAGACAATGTTAGCATCCGATAATTTTAACTGTTGGAGAAAACTGGTTAATTTTAAGGTTTTTTGCGCTATTTTCATCTTCCAGGTTTAAAATCTACATTGTGTTGACGTCACAATTTGTGACGTGGCAATGGACTAATAGTACATCGATGATGCGTCGGTGTATATTAAATTGTTCATGAGACTGCGTGTTCTTATCCAATGAGAAGACGCTTCGCTTAATCATTCACACCAGCATGTGTTGATTTGCTATGACAGATGCTTCAGATTGTGAGATGACATCACGCACATTAACTGAGAGAAACGTTTATATTGAACATTAATGGAGCAACATATTTTGTGTGAAAATAAATCATTCAAGTTGTTATTTTGTTTAAAAATCTTATAAATGTATGAATGTACCCACACACGGGGTAAAAGGTTCACCAGCATGGGGCAAAAGGCACACAGTATTGATGCAAATACTTTAGCTAAAATTATGTTTGTTTGTTTTTAATAATGTTAATACTTGTTCAAAACAATCACTTTAGCAAAGTTTGTACTATTTTCTGCTTATTTTGAAAAATAGCTAAAATAATGAATTTTTGTTTAATAAATATACTGTCATTAAAATATGTTAATATAAAAAATATATTTTAAAATACAGAAACAAAATCATTTTAATAAGTAAAGATTCTGAAAGCATTGAAGGAGATCCAATAATATATGTTTACAGTAGTAACAACAAATGATATTTTATTATATGTTATGATTAATATCATGTTTTTAAATATGATGGTTTCATTCTAAATATGGTGATTATCTCTAATATGGACACCCAGCATAATATATGATATTTACCATCTGAATCTAACCATGTCATGTCAACAAATGGAAAAGTCAGCCATCTATTAATTAGCCCCAACAGCGGGGGCGCTTTTTTACCCCAAATACCATACCTTTATATATTCTTTCGTTATTTAAAAACTGTTGCTTTAATTCTCTTAAACAAAACTGAAAATTATTAAGAACTTTGTCTCAAAATATATGCATTAATTCTAGCGATTCTAATTTGCTACTTAAATCTACAACATTTTAAAAAACATAAAATATTAGATCAATTAAGCACAGAATCAACTTTGCACTGCTGCTCACGATCGCGTCAAGGATCAGACAAATATACACGTGCATCTTGAAAATAATCCTTAGTGCGTTTTTATATTGTTCTTATTAGTAGAATTCATATAATAATAATATCTTATCTGTATTATTGTTCGTTTTTTACAGGAACACTGAATGACCAAAAAAAGCACCAGCACCAGTCCTACGTTCATGGTTACCAAGTCTTAATTCTAATTACTAAACTTCTATTATTAAATAATACTTGATTATCATATTATAATGCTTGACTGCTTGACTGACTGATATTAAGAGTGTACTTTCAGATATTTAAAAAGCTGTACCATTTTACAAATATTCTATGTTTGTAAAATGGCATAACTTATATATATATATATAGTATAGTATTTCAGTCTGGCGAGTAAACAAAAAAATACTAGCCAATGGCGATTCAATTGCCAAGGGGTCCGTTGATATATATATATATATATATATATATATATATATATATGACCTTTTATTCATATAGTAAAGGAATATTCAAGCTCTGTGTTACCTTCAAACTATGGTATGACAGTTACATTACAACATTCACTGAAATATTTATGGTATGTCTCAAAACCCATGAATCTCTGACATGAAAAAGAATCTGAAATTATCTGGGTATAAATTCCAGGAATACATATAATTCTTTGAACAGTGAAATGCCAACTTGGTTAATGCAGAGGCTCTTTACTGACCATTACCTGCCCTTCCACATGCTCCTAGTTTTCCGAGACAACCCTTATGAGCCCCGTTTCCGCATTTAGGACAAAGGTAGCCTTGATTAAAAATTCCCCTGAAGAGCAGAAGGACCATGGGGTCAGTGCTGGCTTCATTCAGTTACATAAAGCATAAATGGCTATTACAGACCTTGTGAAATACAAAGTTTTCTGGCTTTCAGTTTATGTCATATAGCTTTAAAGGGATAGTTCACCCAAAAACGACAATTCAGCCATCTTTGCAGGTTACTCATCATCATGTTGTTCCAAATTTGTAAAACTTTTGTTACACTTTCGAAACACAAACAAATAAAACCTAGGAGATTTCCCCGCCCCCCTCCATGGAAAGTTCAAGTAAACACAACGATAGTGAATCTGCAAAGTAATGACTCGCATTTAACCCAAGTCTTCTGAAAAGACACGGCCACACTATACTGTATGATGAACAGACTGAATTTAGGATTTTATTTACATATAAACACTGATCATTGCACATACATGGAGCTTAGGGATGGGCGATAATGGTAGATACGATTAACCGGTAGAAATTTTGGACTATCGTCTCTATCGCAGTTACACGCTCACATGACGTTGCTGTGCTATGTGGTCACAAAAACGTATAATTTGCATGTGTTTTTAAGCATTGCGGTTTAAAAACAAATGAGGACAAATCAGAGAGGTGCACGCACATTAATACAGTGCTCATAGAGAGCGGGAGAATTGAATGTTATTTTTTCCTGCTTTATAGGCCTAGAACTGTTAAATACACACACTTACAGTATATGTGTCAAAATGCCCGTCCTTGCAAGTATCCTCTTAAACACAGTAATTTAGGTCTTAAGTGAAAGCAAACAGACGAAAAAAAAACACGTGTAACAGTAGGCTATATTAGATCCGGACAGCTCTTAAAGTGACAGCTAAGTCACTTTTGTAACTTTAATAAGAAGAAATATATATTTAATTTACACAGTGAAGAATATGCACTGTTTTGTACATTTGATTACTTTATACAATGTATGTAGCCAGGGTCGTCGCTAGTGGGGTGAAAGGTGGTGGCGACAATTCAGCACCCACACGCTGTGTTCTCACAGCATCTCACAGCCCGTGAACACCAAATTGAGTTTTGCCTCTTCTTGCCCTTGAACCGACAAATGCATACTAAATTATGTCGAAATACCCATCTTGGCGAGTATCCTCGAAAAACTGTCGGTTATGTCTCAACTTAAGTGAACCTAAACAGGTGAGAAAGAAATCAGATGTGTATCATTATATTGGATGTATTGTCTCTTAAAGTGACCATGCCTAATTTACTAGCAGCAGTCGGTGTCTTTAATGTTAATCCAAGAGTTTAAAAGAGAGAAAATCACTCACTGCTCTTTACTGAATTACTTTGTAGTTTTAATAATAATTAATCTATATTTATTTAGATGGTGAAAACTATGCAATTATATTTTACATTTGATTATTCAGTTTCTGTACCTGGACACCTACAAACTTGAAAAAACTTATTAAACACTGAGTAATTTGTATCTTTGTTCTATTTATTTTATTTGCTATTTACACGATTTCAAGCAAGGCACCTTGGGTACAACCTGCACCGGGGCCCCCAGCTACAGCCCTGTATGTAGCATTTCTTTTTGTTTCATTTGTTCTACTGTAGTTTTTTGGTCCTATTGCTTGTAATTAGTTTCTTATTCTTATTTAATCGCTTTGACTGTTTCGACTGTTTGCTCTTTTTTAGGCTAGTATTAGTTTTTTTTGTGTGTGTGATATTGACACAAATTATGACTATGGTATCAAAAAATGTTAGAGATGCACCGATTGCAATTTTCTTGGCCGATTTCGATTTCTGATTATTTATTAATGTGATCTGCCGATATCGATTTTTGCCGATTCAGATTTTCTTTCTAAGCAGTGTTAATTTCGTCAACGAAGACGACGACAAAAAATATTCGTTAACGAACATTTTTTCTGTGACTAAGACGAGACGTTGACGAGCTAAAAGTGTAATATCTGATGATAAAACCTATGACGAAATTTATGCCACGTCTTCGTTAACAAGACAAGACTATAGTGTTATTTGAGGACTAACGGACATTCAAAATACATCCTATAGGCTACTGTCTTGTCCTTCAAAATGTGCGTCCCTGTCACTGGATTGCAATCGGATAAAGGGCGTTTGCATATCTAGTCTCAGTATGGCAGCCGCAGTGGATGGATAGGCTACCAAAATGCAAACTAGCGATCTGAAACAATGGCCTCAGCACCCGAAGGGGTAGGGATAAGGTGACCAGACGTCCCGTTTTTCCCGGGAGTCACAATTCGTTGTCGATTAACTTAAATTTAGTGAAGGCGGGATAGGCGGAATCACGCTGTTAGAAGTGCTCTCTCTCGCGTGCACGCTCCACTTCTTCAGTGCTCAAATACACACACAGCAGTCCAAATATCTATCGTGTAGAGTATCTCACATAAATACATTCGGTTATGGATTAAGTGAACGTAAACAGGTGGGTGAAAACTGAACGTGTCAGTATTACATGCATGCCTTCCGTCTTAAAGGGACAACATTCCTAATTAAGTACCTATCGTGTCATTAATGTTAACCAACAAAATATGTTAAATAAACATGTTAAGTAAACCTACTGTTTAATTTGTATCTTTCATATTTGTCTTATTGCCTTATTCTGCTTCTTTTTCAAAAATTATAAATTATATATATTATACATATGAACAACTATAATTTTTAGAAATTGCTCCCTTTTCACTACTGTTAAAGGATAGTTCACACAAAAATGAAAATTGTCATCATTTATTCAAGTTTTTCCAAATTCAATCTTTGATTCAAATTTCTCATAAGCTTAATTGATTTGGTCTAAAGAGAGAAGAATTAATGACTATTTTTGTTTGAAGACTACATGTAAAATAGCTACCAAAATAAATGTTGGTAACTGCAGTTTGGCTAAAAGTAATGACTAAAAGTTGCCAAAAATGCAATGACTTTTCGTCGACTAAAAAAAAGACACAAGTAAAAAGTCAGTAATAAAATAAGAACAAATAAAAAATTGCAAACAACAGCACAAATAAATGCAATAGAATAAAGAGAGGTATGAAACTAAGTTTTTCAGGTTAAGTAAGTTTTTATTCAGGTAAGAAATACTATAGAAATTAAAGTAATCAAATGTAAAATAACACATCCAGTGTTATTTTACATTTGATTACTTTAATTTCTGTAGTCTTCATTGTAAAAATTAAATACAGATTAATGCTTACCAGAGCAGAAAGTGATTTTCTTTGTCTTTTGTTCTTTGATTAACATGAGACACAGCAGCAGGAATATTGGACTGCGGTCCCTTTAAGAGTTTATCCACGGACCCAATATACTGTTACACAACATGCGTTCTCTTTCTCAACTATTTAACGTTCCAAAACTGGCTGTGTTTAACTGGATACTCACCAAGACGGGTATTTTGACATAATTTTGTATGTATTTGACCGTTTTAGCGCAGTTAGCCACTCATTTTGGTATTTGTGGCTCACAAGCTGTTTGAGACTGAGTGCGGCTTGTTATAGATCAGTGGTGGTGTGCGCGCTTTTGGTGTTAGCGCGAAACCTGCAGGGATGACTAAAATAATGCGCAATACAAGCACTATTTAACCGAAGCAAATGAGACGTGTGTGAGAGAGAAGGGGTCGTCGGAGAGAAGAGAGTGAGAATGCGTGGCTGACGTTATTGCCTGTGCCGCTGGTAACAAAACGGATCGGTTCAGAATCGGAAAGAAGTGAGACTGACCGGCCGGTCACCGATCATGAGGAAAATCGGCCGATTCCGATCCCTAGCCGATCGATCGGTGCATCTCTAAAAAATGTTATATCATAAAGACACTATTTAAAGCAAAAATAACTATATCGTTATATAGTAGATATTGTTACCGTGAAATAAAATTACTCATATAGTGATATAAGATTATGGTCATATCGCCCACCCCTAATGGAGCTCATGAAATACAGTAGAAGCTCAACCCTACTTGCTTGACGTGCATATAACATGATTTACTTGGATTGACTTGGATTAAATCATTCAATTCATATGGATTACTTTTTACAATATTTGAATCATCAAACTTTTGATTACCTGGACTGTCAATAAAGGGATAGAAATCTCTCAGGTTGAATTCAAAATATCTTCATTTGTGTTTTGAAGATGAACAATCAGAAAACACAGGGCAGAAAGAAAACTCTGATTTCATAAGGTCTTTAAACACAACATGAACTGCCTTTTTTATTTTGTACTGGTCAATAATAATGTTATCAAGATTTTTACATCAAAAACATAATAATTTGGAAGTAATAAGCTATTTTCTGTCCTGTAACCCCCCTCATCAGAACGCTCTGTTTGAATAGGCGTGGTGGATATCAAAACAATATACAATATCAAACGATCTATAAGAAGAGAAAAAGCAATAGTGACCAGGTAATAAAAACAGTTACTCACACTTGTATTGTGACATTAATGTCGGATCTAATATACTCGGCACGGCATTGTTAAGGCATCTTTTAGTTTCCATCTTTTTAAAATTCCCGAGTCAAATTGTGCCTTGTTTGTAAACAAATCCACGGTAAAATGAAGTGAACAAAGGACCGAGTTCTTACTGACGTGGACTGGATCATCATTAAATATATAAAGTTCCCTTCTGAGGGAACTTCGAACTGCGTCCTCTAGTGGTCGCTATGGGCAACACCTTTGGCGTGACCAGTGTCTGAAGCATACATCTAAACACGACAATAACATTGGCTGGCGACAGCCTATGACATCATTACCGGCACGACCACAGTATAAAAGGGCACCGGGAGAACACGTCATCCTCTTCTTCGTCTTCACTGACCATTTGTTTACATTAACAGAAAGCTAAACATACTAGGAGTGTATGTTCTCTCACCAGAGGCTTTGCTCTGATACGTGAAGAGCAAGTGCGTTCAGCTCTCGAGGGAGTTAAAAGTGTTCATTGCTTATTTCTATGTAAGGGATAAGCATGAATTGAACATGCTCGACTCACAAGAAGACAGCTTGTGCTCATCGTGATGCATTTGCGCGACTACTGAGAGGGGAGGTGAGTACTTCACCATTTACCCGAGGTTGTAGATAGAGTTTGCATGAGTGCGTTCGCCTCTTGTGGGAATAACATTTCTGTTCTTGCTTGATTTCTGAGGTAAACAATGCGTGTTTAGCTCCCGCAAGAGCTGAATGTATGCTGCGCATTGCGGTGAGAATTGTCTGTCCATTGCCTGCAATTTGTGGTTGGTGGGCAGAGAATGGAAAGGACCTGACAGCAAATCTTTTCCCTATCAGTAATTTCCTGCTGTTTATAATTCCTTATATATAAGGAATTGTATAATGTGGATATCTGTCTGCAGTTGTTGGACATGATTTATATCATGTCCTTATCAGATAACCACATTATACTGCACTCTGGGAGCCAATTTTCTGCACCTTTACTTTCATTCAGGGTTATATGACTCTCTGTGCTCAAATGTTGGCTTGCGAGCCTCCTTGATGATTGGCCCTGAACTGAGCTGATTGCTCCTGTTCCCACAGTTGGGTGTGGTAGAGTATCATGTTTTCTGTGGCTAGGGACTTGACCGTACTCCCCTCTCACTAGCTTGAGGGCTACTTGTGAGTAGGTCACCAGCACAGAACCTGGTTCCCTAACCTTAGCGCTACAACCTCCGAGGCCCTCCGGGTCTTTTTGAGGGCGTAACTTTCAGGTTGAGCAGGGCAGTACTTGAGGAATATGACCTGCTCCCTGATGGCCTGCTGGGTGATTGCTTCGAGAAGCTGCCCCGGCCAGTGCAAATTACTCATGTCTCGACCCGCGGGGCTTCCTGAGCTTTGAGTCATCCACTTACCATTATGCACTTTCTTTAGAGCGCCTCTCGCTGAGACATTGAGCAATCTCACTCCACTCTGCAGTTTCGATAGGTTGTTAAAGGGCCCTTTTTTGGACCTCCCTTTCACACTGCCCTTATGGTTGAACCGGTGAGTCACCCCTCTGTGGAGTGGGCTTGAGTACACTTCCTTCCCTGAGGTACGAGTGAGACATGTTTCCTTCTCTGCGGAGACCTTTCCTAAGTGCTTCAGCTCTGAGTAACAGTAGCTCTTTGTGCATGAGTGGATCATTAGGTCCAGTTGTTTCTGCAGGTTCCTTCGAGCTTGATTAAACGGGACCCACGCTCAGACTGTGTTCAGCTGACAGTCTCTCATCAGGCCCTGTTAGACTGCCCCCTCTAGTCTAATGCTGCCTTCTGGCTGAGCTAGGAATTGCTCTCCTCACTGCGAGGGTTAGCTATAAACCTACCGCTCCCAGTATGAGCTATGAGGGCCTGCCTCAGCCTGAGAGCCGAGAGCGCGGTTCTTGAGAACTCCATGTGCAACCATACCGAGTTGTCAGGCCTGTCCCTGTCGCCTCCTTGGTTAGTTGCGTCTATGGTGGGAGCCTGCTGCTCCCTGTTGAAACACGTAATCCCTTCTAAGCTGGATTCCGTTACTGATGCCCCATCTGCGGTCAATCTGCTTCTCCGAGCTTGGCAGTGCTCCCCTCACAGCGGGAGAGTCTTTTATGAGCTCGCCGCTCCTAAGCAGATCATGTGAGTCCTCCTCTCTAGCTGTGAGTTAAGAACTCTGCCCCTCTCTCTCTGAACTCTCGGAACTCTGTCGAGCTGGGTTCTTCTCTCATTACTGAGAGTCAAGCCCTCCGCTCCTTGAGCTCCTTGGCAGCAAGACCAGGTAGTTTAGCTGCTTGCTGCTGCCCTGGTGAGTTGCCCCTTTTCTGGTTGAGCCTAGCAGTGCTCCTCTTGACCTAGAGGGTCACCTTTGAGCACGCCGTTCCAAATTGAGCGTCTGAGGTCTCCCCTAACAGAGTCAGTTCTCCCCTCGCTCTAGAGCAGCACTTCTCAAAGTCCGGACTCTGGTCCGGATCCGGAGGGAATTCAATCCGGACCCGCCTCCATTTCGTATTTCAAGAGAATTGTGTAAGGGATTAAAAGCGTGTATTTCCTACTTTGATAAACGCAATAATAATAATTAGTTTAGTTTTGTATGTTTTTTTGGAGATGGTCCGAAATGAAAGCGAAGGCGAGATATTTAAAGTTTTCCTGCGTGACATTGTTGTCATGACATCCAGTAAGGCATATAACATGACGTAATTGGGTCTCACTTCACCACATATGAGTGAACTTTTATTTTTGTTATCACTTAGATTATGGCCATTTCACTTATAACCATGTCCAGTGTTCCCCATACATTGATTTATTTGTGGCGGACCGTCACAATATCAAAACTGACCGCCACAAATAGTTTGAAACACTTCTATTTCGTTGAATAAACATCAGCGCTGCACATTTCAAAATCAAAATGTGGCGCGGGTGTTTTTTTTATATGAATGTATCTTTGAAAAGAACCGAGCATCTTCAGAAAAGCTCTATTTCATTTTCATTTCGTCTTTACTGTAATGCCTGATAAAGTAGCGTTTGTGCGCACAGCACTTGAGTACAGCTGTTACCGTGGAAACCGCTATATCTCCCACACCAACAGCACCTCCCGTTGGCAGAGAATGAATTTGCATTTGCAAATCTGTGGGAAACACTGGTGTCTGTCAGCAAACATAAGCAAAAAGCTTCAGAACTGTTTTGAGAAGGTGCTTAAGTAAGTTTTGAGCCATGTATTACTATGAATTAGGCTACTAGTACTACTACGTATAACATGACGTAATTGGGTCTCACTTCACCTCTATTCATTTTCATTTCGTCTTTACTGTAATGCCTGATAAAGTAGCGTTTGTGCGCACAGCACTTGAGTACAGCTGTTACCGTGGAAACCGCTATATCTCCCACACCAACAGCACCTCCCGTTGGCAGAGAATGAATTTGCATTTGCAAATCTGTGGGAAACACTGGTGTCTGTCAGCAAACATAAGCAAAAAGCTTCAGAACTGTTTTGAGAAGGTGCTTAAGTAAGTTTTGAGCCATGTATTACTATGAATTAGGCTACTAGTACTACTACTATTACTATTATATCTTGTACCCTGCAATAAACATTTACTCAAACTCTCTTTTATGAGATGAAGAGGAAAAAAAAGAAAATTGGCCAAACAAATTGCTAAATGATGCAAAAAATCAGCATCACATATTGGCTGCCCTCATTTCTAAATATCGGCATTGACCAGAGAAAGACCCATATTGGTCGACCTCTATTCCTGACACTTAAATTAATTGTTTTGCCACTTTTGCACTTGTTATTAATTTTTTTTTTCAAAAAATTAGTGCTGATTTGTTATGCATTTTATGCATGTTTATTAAAAACAAGTTTTGTAATAACCAATTATTCCGGAACTTTGACATTGATAAAAATTCAGGTTTGGACCTTTGAATGTAGACTTTGAGAACCCCTGCTCTAGAGGGTCACCGATGAGCACGTCGCTCCCTCCTGAGCATCTGAATTTCCCTCTCAGCCTCCCCAGAGCTCCGTGAGACAGCAATACAAGGTTGTTAGGCCCTTTTCTGCCTCCCTGACAGGCTGCTCCTGTGGTTGAGCTTGTAGTGCTACCCTCACACTAGAGGGTCATCTATGAGCACACTGCTCCCAAGTCAAGCATCTGATTTTTTTTTTTCAAAAAATTAGTGCTGATTTGTTATGCATTTTATGCATGTTTATTAAAAACAAGTTTTGTAATAACCAATTATTCCGGACCTTTGACATTGATAAAAATTCAGGTTTGGACCTTTGAATGTAGACTTTGTAACTTATTTCAACACACAAAATGTCTCAGAAGTGCAAAGTCAGCTCACCTGAGAAGCATATGACAGGAGCTGCAGCTGGTGGCCCTCTCGAAAGTGTGCATCCTGAAGTGGTGAGAGTTAAATGTGGCATTCTCAGGCCGAATATTAGATCTGAAATGGAAAATCAGAAATAAAGTAAAGCAATGGTGCAAAGTTGGCTGATTGGAAAAAAGAGCATGTGACAAACTACTTGTTTAAGACTGAACAGGGGCCAAGCAGTGGTGAATGTTGTGGCCCACGGGGCTGGGACCAGACCTTCCAATTCTGGGCACGAATCAGAGCAGTGGGGAAGCTCTTTACCCGAACGACTCTAAGATTGATTCTTGCATCAAGAGAGCTGTGTGCATGCGGCAGGTGTAATTTGTTGTTTGAATGCACCCTTCAGATCATCATGCAGTCAACAACATGTATAAGTGCGTGTACAGAGACACATTTTTAAAGGGTGACATATAAATCAAGCGGGATAGGAAACATCATTACAGACTCTCGGCACAAGGGACGGCGTATCCTCTTTAACCTACACAATTTCTAAATCAGAACTCTCGTTAGTTTTCCTCTCCATCTCTCTTTTCATTTCTTCCACAGTAAATACATTGTGCTATCAAATCTCAACAACATCCCAGGCACAGGATGTCACCTTGTACTAGAACGAAGTAAGCTGCTTGACATCAAATGACATCATTAAAAAAACGTTGAATGCCTTATTGAAAGTAAGATGATGTGTGCAAATGTTTCCTCTCTCTTAACTTACGAAAGTAGATTCATATTGTCATGTGAACTACTCTGGAATTTGCATTGACCAAAGTTCCAGGGAGCATTTGAATGCAGTGTGAAAGGTCACCTCAAATTTATTTAATTTAAAATGAAAATATTTGTCATTTACTCACCCTCATAAAAGTGATCCATTATGACATATTGTAAACCAGAACAGATCAGAATACATGTGGGAAAATTTAGCTTTACATAACTTGCTCAGCAGTGGATTCACTGCAGTGAATGGGTGCCGTCAGAATGAGAGTTCAAATGGATGATAAAAACAACAAAATAATCCCCAAGTAATTGACACGACTTCAGTCCATCAATTAACATCTTGTGAAGTGAAAAACTGTGTGTTTGTAAGAAATTGTATTGGACTTTCATGTTCAAGTTGTGTTCCAGTTTTCTGTGTCTGGTCTTTGTCACTTTGTAGTCTTTTTGTTGATTGGTTCCCTTGATTGTATTCCCCTGTGTGTATATAACCCCCAGTAAACTAACTATGCCACATAGTGTTATTGTTAGTTTAGTTCAATAAAGTACTCCTTGCATTTAGAGCCTGCTTTCCTGGAATTCTGAGTTTGACACACATCACAGAACAGTACCAAATTTACAGCACTGAACTTAAATTTATACATGTATGCCACCAAATACCTTCTGTGGTTTTTAAGCTTGAATTCTCTGGTTCTTTATTGAAATTGCACAGAAAAGAGCAACAACAACAAAAAGTCACCTTTTGAGTTCCACTGAGCAAAGAAATTCATTCAGGTTTAGGAATTGGTATTTGGGGTTTGAAACTCACATGGCCATCTCAAACTGGTCCAGCCATTTCTTCTTCAGCTCCTTTGTCTTGAACAGGAACTCAAATCCACTCTGTCCCTGCTGGTGAGTGAGGTAGAACCCGTAGCACCACTGCCAGAGGATAAGACAAATAGCAAAATAACTGCTTAAAAATAAAAAATTTGATTCACAAATAAAGATCTAACTTTTCAATATGGTTATACCTCAAGACGTTTTGTAAAAAAAAAATAACAATAATAATAACATAAATTTGCTTTATTAGAATATTAAGGGGTTATGGTGTTTGGTTTAAAGTGTGATGGGTGATGGCAGTGAGAGTTGGTGGGTGAGGGAAAAGGGGGCTCATTTTATTTTACACCGCAATAGACAGCCAGAGGCAACCTTGGGGGAGTGGACACATTCATCACTAACTATTACCATTCAGAGTGTGTGTGTGTGTGTGTGTGTGTGTGTGTGTGTTCATGTGTAAGTTTGTGTGGTGTAGCATTTATGCACACTACTGAGGGTTATGTTGCAGCATCCCACCCTAGCCGCTAACCAGTCCAGCGTGTTATTGTTAACTAAAGCTAAAACTATTAACCATCTATTTTTTGGTAAGTGAAAATAAAATAAAATAAAGTATTAGATTAAAAACTTAAAAATAAAGTGTTTTGAAGCACCTAGCTGAAATAAGTAATATTATTAAATACTAAAAATTTAAAAACTGCTATACAAATAAATTGAAGCTAAAGAGAAATATTTTTAAAAAGTAATAAAAATGACAAAAACATAAAATTATTCAAACTTAAACTAAAATTAATTTGAAAAAAAAAAGTTTAGGCTAATTCAAAATATGAATAAATACTAAAACAAAATCCTCATCTTTCAGTTAATTGGGAAAAACCATCAGCCAATTTATCATTGTAATTTTTAAATTAAATCCAGACAAGATTTCTGGTTAAAGTCACTGCAGTCAATGAAACTGCACTGCAAGTTTTTTTTTTTAATTATTAAAGCTCTAGTATGTTTGCAATATAAGCAAGCAAACCAAAGATTGTGGCATCAGTAACTTTTCTTTCCTCTAAAACTACAGTTTTGAGCATTATGTAATGTGATAATATTTATAAAAGTTATTAATGATGGTTGTTTTGAAGTTTTACTGTATTTTTAAAGATTTCCAATGTGTCAATGTCTGTGTGCATGTGTTTTGGAGACAGTTTGCAGTTGTGTACAGGTCTTGTCAAAGACGTCAAGGAATAAGATCCATCAGTGCATTAAGTGTGTCCTGAGGAGGGACAGAAAGGCACTTCAAACAGAAAAGCCAGCGGGGCTTTGCCTGGCCAAGGTCTCCTTGAGACAGATTTCACCAGACCATCTGTTCAGAAGAAACCTTCCTTTTGGTGAAAGGCATAAAAGAGAAAAAAATATCAAAAGTTTAAAGGCATATCTGCATAATTTTTACATCTGTATAACTATTGCCAAGCCCCAAAAGAACATCAGAAACCAAAGGTAACCTGAGGATGAGCTGCCCACCTTTACAGACTGAAAAAACACATCGATCTGAGTACACAGCTCTGCAACCTCTATACACACTACACTTACTATGGCCACTTCTGATTCACATGACATGGAAAACTCCGCAAAATGAACACAGACTTTAGACTGTTTATCGTCAAAAGCAACCAAGTCTTTCCACAGCAGTTGGTTCAGCATGCAGAATTTGACTTGACATGCTGCAGCAATCCGTCACCATCCATCAACTCTCATAAAGAGCAGTAACATCTGTCTGCCACAGTCTGCGATGGGCTCTCCAGCCTGATCTGGTTACACTCACCATTACAGTCTAAGGGACAGGCTGATTTATTTTTTATTTTTTTAAGGCCTGGCTGTTAAAATCTCAGGTTGATGAGATCTCAGAGAGATATATATATATATAGGCCTATATAATTAAGTACATGCAATTCAAAATTTAAATATTATGTTATTATTTATTATATTTTAAATATATTTATAATTATATAAATGTATTCCAAATAAGTGTGAGAAAAATATTAAAAATACTTCAAACATATTTTTAAAAAACTTATGTTGGTGTATCAATTTAAAGTAATATTTAAATTAATAACTTGGGAGATTTATTGGAATAATAACCTGAATAGTTATCTGAAAGTTGTTTTCTTTATTTACATGGTTTTAAATAGTTCAATATAATGTTATTCATCTCTGTAAGAAATGTATATGGAGAGCAAAGACAACAACAAAAGGGCATCGCATGATTGCTCATCTCATGAATACTCAGGAGACAACACTCACAAAATCTTTTTTTAGTATAAGCCTATTTAAACCAAGAAATGCATTAATCCAACTCAGCTGCTATATCTGTTGGCTTAAAAAAAATAGAAAAAAAAAAGATTACATTGTAATTGAAAATCTGCATTGAGAAGCAGTAGATCCTGAAAGTTGTTCAAACATTTGTTTGTTGTTTTTTTTAGCATTATTTACTCTAAGAACATAAAGCATGTATTTGATCAGAAATGATAAAGACCTCAACTTTTCCTATGTTCTGCATGTGAACGGTTTTAAAGAGCTTAAAGCAGTTTTAAAGAGCTTACAACAGCACAACTGATTTACATAAAAATGCACTTTGGTAAGTCACACTGTCCTTAAAATGGGTTGGATATTACTGGAATATCCTACAGCAACCTAGAGGACATAAACATTTTAACAGAGGAAAAAAAATACCAGCAAAGACTTTATTCTATGTCACTCTAACAGTTCAAAGCAGATCTAAAGGAGAGTTACTGGAGCCATCTGTGGAGAAGGCAAGTATCAGAGTGATTTCTATTCTACAGAACACTTGAATTGTGCTAGTCCGACCTCTACAAAACCCTTCAGAATGAAACAATATGATGAATAGCAGATGCTGGGATCATGAGAAAAATATGACTGTTTGATATTTGGGTGCAGTTTTCTGAGCCTACAAACATTCCTGTTACTGTGTTTCTCACTGACCTTTCTGCAGTCCTTATCAGTAGTAGGGTTATTGGTGATCTTGAAATGGTTGAGGTCGATCACTTCCTTCATCTCATAGTTGTCCCCGCGCCTCTTGCAGACAATTACAGCAACGTCGAACAAAAAAATATGTCTGCAACATTGACACGTCATGACATGAAAGTAAAAACAAGAGTGGATTGCAGTAAAAGATTTTGCCTTAAGCCTCACCTGTCCTGTCTGCGCTTGTCCACATTTGACACCAAACGGACTTCACCGTCACCCTTCGGTCTTCCATAAGAAAGTAAGCACTGGTTCTGTGAAGGGACATTCATGGGCAGACAGGAAAACAATAATGACATGAGTAAACTATTCTTTTTAAAGCAGAGGTAATGTTTATTATGTACAACTTACCAAATTCTCAATGGATCTCTGATACTGATCAATCTCCCTCAGAGTCTCAACGTCTCTTTTCACCTCATTTACATACTGGGCTAAGTCCTGTTTAATGAAGGAAAAGAAAACGGACCTCGATTCATGCACATATCATATATATACTAATCAGCAGCCATTACTCTAGTCTTCATTGTCACAAGATCCTTTAGAAATCATTCTAATATGCTGATTTGCTGCTCAAGAAATATTTTATTATTATCAAGGTTGAAAATAGTTGTGCTGCATAATACACTATATTGCCAAAAAGTATTGGAACACCCCCTTCTAACGAACAGGTTTGACTACTTTAGTCATTTCCATGAGTACAAATCTTAATGTTTAAGGATATAATGATATTCTAGGGAATTGTGTGCTTCTAATTTTATAGCAACAGTTTGGAAAGCACCCCTTTCTATTCTAACATGACAATGCCTCTGTGTATAAAGCAAGGTTAAAAAAAATGATTGATTCAGTCAGTGTGAATTCGACTGGTCTGGTCTTAATCCCAGCTGAACACCTCTGGTGTGACTTTAAATGTTTTGGAAGTGCTTGGAAATGAAGGGGGTGTCCCAATACTTTTGGCAACATAGTGCATTTTGGTGGAAACCATGACACTTTTTTTCAGGATAGTTTAATGAATAGAAAATTCATTATTCATTCAAATTCAAAAGAACAGCATGTGTGTGTGTGTGTGTGTGTGTGTGTGTAATAATTCCAATTCTGCTTGGCAACATAGTGCATTTTGGTGGAAACCATGACACTTTTTTTTTCAGGATAGTTTAATGAATAGAAAATTCATTATTCATTCAAATTCAAAAGAACAGCATGTGTGTGTGTGTGTGTGTGTGTGTGTGTGTGTAATAATTCCAATTCTGCACTATATTTCTATGTTACTAATCAGATTAGTAAATGTGTGACATTGATCATATGGCTTGTTCACCAACATGCTTATTACAAAAAATATATATATATATTCAAATCATGCTGGACAACAAGCTCATCAGGTTTCAGGGCTTTAAAGCAAAAGAGAGACAAACCAAATACTAAAAGACATTATAAAATTCATGTTCTTTTCATGAAAAACTGTTCTCAAATGATGCTGATAATACAGTATAATTAGTAGGCTAATAAATGAATTATGAAATAAATGAAAACATCACGTTTTGAATGAAAAAATATATCCAGTATTTCTCTCTCTACAGGAAATTATTTCATTTCATCAGCGAGTACAAACATCTCCAAATACTGAAAGAGGCCTTTCAAAGGACCCCACTGGGATGACGTGGATCTCGGCTGATTTCCATTTTAAAAGGCAGCCTCTGCTCAAACACTCACTTATGAGTCTAAATTAAACACACCATTTTACAGGCAGGCAGGTAGATGAGTTCAGTCCCTGTCTGAGCAACTCTCACAGCTCCCATCCGGCTAAACCAATCAACATTGAGATGATAATTCCAACAAATTAAATCACCACAGGCCTCTGTTCCATTACGGTGTCTCACATAGCCATTAATCTGCTTTCCACCTACTCTGCCAGTGAGACTGAAACGAGCAGTTGACATCACTTCACATACTAGAATCTCATCAATATTAAAGAAAACATTACCAAGTATATGCAGGGATGATCTTATACTGATGGCACATGCTAAAGAGAAATCATGGCTGGTAATGATGAGAGTTTTGTGGCTTTTAGTCTATATGTGTTAACGTTGAGGCCATGTAGTGTAGTCCTGAACACTGACAAAACTGCAAAGTACTTCTTAAAATCTACATACGACCTGCAACCAGCTAGCAAGTAGCCATTCGTGGTTCATGAATGCGACAAAATGAAAGCCTATTGGTTACTTTTAAAGGGAAAAGCTCTGCCAAACATTCAGGTTCGGTATGGAAATACATCAAGCAGGGAATAAAATTGCACTTGTAAAGACATTTATTTAATGTTTTTTTTGAGCATTTAATAATCTCTAATAATGTCTAACAATCTTTAAATCTGTATTTTCTGAAAGATTTTGCTGTAGGTTCCATAAGAAATCTATACTTACTTTCATGGCATCAAGGGCTAATCGTAGGTTGCTCTTTTCTGTGCTGTCGTTAGTATATTTCACCAATTCCTATATTAAAAAATGAGAAAAAAATGAGTTGAATTCACCTCTTTTAAGATGAGCATGTTTTTCATTTTTTTTAAATATCGTGATGCTGTGATGATATTGTCCAGATATCACAAATTAGAAGAAAAAAAAATCCTCATTAAAACAGTGAAATTCTTGAAATGAAAGAAGTAGTTTGGCATAGTATTTTATTATTTTTTATTAGAAAACAATGAATTAGAAATAGACCTACGCACATGACATGTGAGGAAAATAGACATATCACACATTTTATTCATTCTTAACATCATTTTGGGTAAATCATGGCCATGTTGTAATAATAAGTTCCCTCGTTTTGGTTTAGTTTGCGGCCACAATATCTTGTTCTCACGTGTCTCACGTGTGTGGCTCTGTACAAAAGTGCTTAACTTATTAATATTTCAAATAAACTGAAATTAAATATTTTTGTGCAAATGTAAAAAAGTTTTTGAAAACTATTTAAAGCATATTTCTAAGATTTTAAAGTTTAGTTAAAGTTTCTAGATATTTTGAATAATTTATCCTTTTCTTTCTTTATCATGATCACACATATATGTCTTTGAAAATAAGTTCATTCCCTGTTCTGTCATGAAATGAAGACCCAACATCATCATGAAAACTCCGAAGAGTCAAGACTAGACTGCTTCACTAAAAACTTCTGAAAACCCCAGGTACAGAACAGAGTGACCACAGTGCCAAGTTTCCAATGAGCACGCCAGGTCAGTTTTGAGGGAATGCCGGACAATTTGATTTGAACCAGATTTATTCCACGATATGGAGAAGAACGTCAACAGAACCTTTCGAGATCCACGCTATAACATAACTAATTAACTTGATAAACAAATCTGGCCTTTGGATTTGTGCACAAACAGACTCGTGAGCACACAAACACGCTGGGAGAGAAATGGTGTTGTTCCAAGTGTGAAATCTGTGCAGCTCATCCGAAACATGCATTTGTTTTCAGAGTGCAATCGAATGCTGCTGGAGAGAGACAAACAGCCCAATCGCAGCGAGTAAACAAGGTGATTAGAAAGTTCAGCACTCTTTCCAGATTTACATTCTGACCCAGACCACTGCTGTGACTTTGATGGAAGCTCAAGCATGTGTGTTTGGGAATGTGTGTGTGAGGACGTGCACCTAGACTCAGGTGTGCGTATATTCCTAAATGTATTGGAAGTATAACACGGAGCAGGAGCTTATGGAGACCCAATTACCTACCTTACGGATGAATGAGATTTCAGTGTTCGTCCCCGTAGCTCTACCAGTAAATCCTGCCCCTTTCACACATTCATCTGTATTTCTGTCACAAAACTCACTGATAGTGGTGATCTGTATTATTATTTTTTTTTATCTACGCTGTCTTTTTGCAAATTATGAAATCTGATTCATTTGTGCTGACAGTGTAGTCAGTATCTACCCTAGTAGCCATAGTGATGACTTACGCATAAGCACAAAGGCAAGAAATGCAAGACAAAGAGAGGACTGAAAACAACATAACATAAATGACATAAGTGTCAGACTGTATTTACAACATTTACACAATAGTAAATATGCAGTGTCAAAAGCTCCTCTATTGTTCGCACATTTCTCATTCAAAATATGCTGAGTGCCACATAGAAGAAATGTGTTACGTTACAATCGCATCACATCATACATCACGAAAAACTACATGAAATATGATCTGAACCAACAGTGAAACTATTTTTCAAAAGTACAAATTTAATCAGATCAGGATTATCTTAGTTAGTTACAACTAAAAACAACAAAACATTTTTGTTACTTGAAATAAAATATGAAATGAACTGAAATAAAATAAAAACTTTTGAATACAATTAATAAAAACCATATAGACATATATTTAAAACAAATGAACAATTAAAAAATGTTAAAAATATATATTTTGAATTAGTATCATTGAGTATCATACTAAAATAATTTAGTATCTCAGTGATACTAAAATAAAACTGCATCAGATATGAAACAACATATTTATGTAGTTCATACTGGGTTTGTAAAAATTAGATTTCATGTGATTTGGAGGCTCTATTATATAAACAACTGCAAACATGCACATATAAAGAAAAAAAATCAAATATGCTACAATAGGATATTAAAAAGTATGTTTGCGTCATTCCAGAGAAAGTGGACACAATGTGCTTGAGAACAGGACTGCATGGGGCAGAGTGTCAGATACACTGCCACCTGTCCCTGCTTTTGTTTTTGTGTGTGTGGGAGGGGGGGCGGGGGGGGGGGGGGATCAGCCTGGCAGGTGTGTGGCGACACACGTCTCTAACACTTGTCCACTCACTTCTGTTCTCATGCCATCTCTGTCCTGTGGTGAAGGACCTCTCGCATACAAAGACTAGTGTAGTAACTGTGATGATTATATTATTCTATACTACATATAGATATGCCGTCTCCACATTTAACTTAATAAATGTCACTTGGCTTATTAGGAAACATGGTATTAAATTAAACATGTAAATTAACAGTAAAATCATCTAGAAAGACATATATCTCATATAATCTCATATAAGATTGCTAACTATTGGTAATATTTTTATATGGTTAGTGATCAAGTTAAGCAGTCTAATATATACATATTAAATTTGTTTTTGTTACACAATTCTTTAAAATGTTCAACTTAGAACATTTATTTTGCTTTTGTATTTGTTTTCTGGCATAGTATGGTTGAGTAGATTTGTTTGGTCATAGCACCTCTGGTGGTCATTTTAGGAAAAGTATTTCAAAGGTTATCAGCAGATATAACCTACTAAAATTTACAAATTACTGTAAATTAACAGTAAAATCATCTAGAAAGACATATATCTCATATAATCTCATATAAGATTGCTAACTATTGGTAATATTTTTATATGGTTAGTGATCAAGTTAAGCAGTCTAATATATACATATTAAATTAGTTTTTGTTACACAATTCTTTAAAATGTTCAACTTAGAACATTTATTTTGCTTTTGTATTTGTTTTCTGGCATAGTATGGTTGAGTAGATTTGTTTGGTCATAGCACCTCTGGTGGTCATTTTAGGAAAAGTATTTCAAAGGTTATCAGCAGATATAACCTACTAAAATTTACAAATAATTTTTGTAACACAAAACAATATATTTTGAAAGTCAGAAAGGTCTAAACACCATTGGGCCTCGGTGAATTTCGTTACATGGAGAAATGATAATAAAAAATTATACATAAAGGTGTATAAATTATTTAAAATTTTGGGTGAACTTTCCCTTTAAAATATGTCCATACACCAAGATACAGACTCACTTTCAGTTCTAAATCTAGTTTGGATGGAAATTAAATCCACCAGGTACATTGATCTTGCTCAATTCCAAGGAAAGAGAGGAAAAAAATATTTTATTCTAGACCATTCTGTTCAATACGGTTCAAATGTATGCTGCTGCTGGTGCTGCTGGAGGGTTTGAGAGACTGACTTCAAAGTTGATCAGATTTCAGACTTCAGAATCAACCCTATCCTGCCAGATTTCATAATGTCACTATTTAACAGTATTTATACCTCATAAAGTAAGTCACTCATTGGCTGTCAGTTTGCAAAACATTGCAAAAAAGTTCCCAATGGATAAAATCAAGTCTCTCTTACATTTATTTGGATACCCATGTAATACTCAGAAATTATGGATGTAAAACGGGTTGTGACTACAGTTTCACGTTGACTTTAATATAATGACCTCTTGTATTGATTTGAACAAGCTGTACTTCATCTGAAAACAGGAGAGTAAAACTTTCCTACAGCAGTGAGAAATTCTTAAGTTCACGTAGTGTTGTGGTCATAAAATAAGAGAAAACTAGCCAGACATCTCCCCCATGTGGTAAATATCAGTAGGACAATCAAACAGGGCCATTCTGACAGTACTGTATTCAGAAAAGCTCATCAAAAATTGTGATATGCATTGCTCTAGTGTTAATTCAAAGTGTTAAAAGAGGACAATATATATATAATGCTAATAGCGTGTATGTAACTGTACCTGAAGCAGTAGTGGGTATTTTAGCACTCGCTGCATGGGAACCACAAGCAAGTCTCTCAAAGTGAATTTCCCATTGTTGGCTCTCTTCGAACATTCCTGCAACACAAAATAAACTGAATCTGGAAAACAGAAGGCTCTACAAAACCTTGAAAAGAAAATGATTGTTTAGTGATTTGGTTATGGGAAAAGCACATTCTAAACAAAATTATCTTTTCTGGGTCAGGATTATAAAATGAGAATGAAATATTGTAATTATGACAGAAAATCAAACTGTGTTTTGAACCTCTAGTTTCAGTCGAACGCCCTCTTTTTCCTTACAGATGAAGTCTAACAGAGAAATGGCTGATTCTACATGACTGCAGTATTTTCCATAAAGCAGAAGCCTAAAGCAGACAGGGTAAATGTTAGCAAAAACACACACACACACATCAGCCGTGCTTAGTAATATCATTCTAGAAATATTAAATATTAACTAGGCCCGCAGAGATTCAATGAAAGCTCTGCAGATTTCCACAAAATTTGATTCTAAACAGATTTCGACATCTGTCACCCCCCACACATTTAATTAATTTTTCCTCAATATAATTTCTTTTTTTGAACACTGAACATTTCACATAAAATGTACTAAATAAATAAATAAGAAAAATATATGTAATAAGAATAAATAAAAAATAAATAAGAAAAATAAATGTAATTGGATGCAAATGTGTGAGTGTGTGTGTGTGTGTGTGTGTGTGTGTGTGTGTGTGTGTACAGTATATATATATGTATTCATACCCCTTAGTTTTTTTCATGTTTTGTTATGTTGCTGCCTTATATTAAATTGCTTTACTCAAAAAAAAAAAAAAAAAAATAAATATATGTGTATGTGTATGTGTGTGTGTGTGTGTGTGTGTGTGTGTGTGTGTGTGTGTGTGTGTGTGTGTACAGTATATATATATGTATTCATACCCCTTAGTTTTTTTCATGTTTTGTTATGTTGCTGCCTTATATTAAATTGCTTTACTCTTTTCCCCACATCATTCTACACTCCATACACCACAATGGCAAAGCAAAAAACAGGTTTTTAACATCTTTGCAAATATATAAAAAATAAAAACTTAAACGATTCCATTGCATAAGTATTCAAACCCTTATCTGGGACAGTTGAAATTTAGCTTAGGAGCATTCATATTGCTTGCAGTGTTGTTACTACACTTCAAGTGAAGTTAACCTGTGGCAAATTCAATTGAATGGATATGATTTGGAATGGCACACAAATCTTAATAAAAGGTCTAACAGCTGAAAATGCATATCAGAGCAAAAACCAAGCCCTGAGGTCAAACGAACTGCCTGTAGAGCTCAGAAACAGGTTTGCGTCAAGCCACACATCTGGGGAAGAGTTCAGAAAAAATTCTGCTTAATTGAAGGTTCATGTAACCTTCATTATCCATAATGGAAGACGTTTGAAACAACTAGAACTCTTCCTAGAGCTGGCCTCCTGGCCAAACTGAGCAATTGATGAAGAAGGGCCTTGTCTAGACTGGTGACCAAGAAGCTGATGGTCACTCTAGTTGAGCTTCATGATCATATGTGGAGATTGGAGAAATCTACAGAAGGACAAACATCACTGCAACACTCCACCAATCTGGGATTTATGGCGGTGTGGCCTGACTCAATATTCTCTTCAGTGAAGACACATGAAAACACACTTGGAATTTGCAAAAAAAATAATCTAAAAGGACCCTTAGACTGTGAGAAACAATATTTTCTGGTCAGATGAACCTCAATTCTAAGCATCATGTTTGAAGGAAACCAGGCACTGCTCATCACCTGAAGAGTACCATCCCAAAAGTAAGATGTGCTGGTAGCAGCCTCATGCTGTGGGGCTGTTTTTCAGCGGCAGGGACTGAGGGACTCGTCAGAGAAAAGCTCAATGCACCAAAATATTGAGATAGCCTTAATGAAAACCCAGTCCAAAGCATTCAGAACCTCAGACTGGGCAGAAGGTTCACCTTCCAACAGGACAATGACCCTAAGCACACAGCAAGAGTGGCTTATAGACAACTCTGTGAATGTCCTTGAGTGGCCCAGCCAGAGCCTGAGCTTGAACAAATATTTCTGGAGAAACCTGAAAATGTGCATCTGCCCCCATCCAGCCTGACAGAGCTTGAGAGGTGAAGAGGCGAGGAGAAGAATGGCAGATAATTGCCAAAAGCTGATGAGCAAAGCTTGTCACATCAAACAAAAAAGACTTGAGGCTGTTAAGGTGCTTCAGCTAAGTACTGAGTTATATAAGTGAATACTTATGCAATGTACTTATTTCAGTTTTTTATTTTTAATACATTTACAAAGTTGTGACAGTTCTGTTTTTGCTTTGTCATTATGGTGTATGGATTTTAGATCGTTGTGGGAAAACAAAGTAATTTAAAGCAGTTTAACATAAGGCAGCAACATTACAAAACGTGAAATAAATGAATAAATAAATATAAATATACATATATATATATATCAATAAATGAAAAATACTTTTGCAAGGCACTGTATATATATATATATATATATATATATATATAGTATAGTATGATATATATAACATAGTTGTATATAGCAGGGGTGGCGAACTCCGGCCCTGCAGAGTTCAGCTCCAACCCTAATAAAAACTCACCTGCCTGTAGCTTCCTAGTAACCCTTCAGACTTTGATTAGCTTGTTCAGGTGTGTTTGATTAGGGTTAAACCAAAACTCTGCAGGGCTGCGGCTCTCCAGAACTGACATTTGCCACCCCTGGTATATAGTATATAATCTATATTTCTTTTACTTAAAAATAAAAAATTATAACAAGTCTTACACAGTTTTGCTTCTCAAGTAACTTTTTTTACTTGTTATTTTTTTATTTACTATTTACTTGTTATTCTCTATTTATTAATTGTATCTTGTTTTAGGAATGTTTAGATGTTTTTACTGGAAAATAACATATATACAGTAGTACCTGTCTTTGTAAATAATGAAGATTTGGTGGAGGTTTTCTGCATTTTTATTTTGAACGGAGTCTTGAATCTCAGCTAATAGGTTTTTGTGAACTTTAACCAGGTCCTGTGAAGCACAAATATACATATAAACAATTTAAATTTGTCGAAAATGTCAGACAAAATTTAAAACAAAAAAATGTAGAAACATTGTGGTCAGCTTTACTCACTGGTATATTGATGAAAATCTTGTCAATTTCTGTTGCTGAGATGAATTTTATCAGTGGAATCATAAAGTACTGTTATGACAGAAATAAAAGTTTTTTTTAGCTCCATGTTGGAAAGTTATATCCTACCTTGTGTGGCAACAGCGGAGCAGCTGTCCATCACTATGTGAAGCACGTTATGATAAAACTCTCCATCCTGCGAATGTGAATCTCACCTTCTCAATGGTCTCCAGGGTCTCAGTGTATTTGGCTTCCGTCTGTTTGATCTCTAGAAGACAGCAGCTTCTGATATCCACCTCGGCCTGTTTCTGTCAACACAACTCACTTATTCAGACTACAGCCAGCCATCCAAAAAACAGCTTCAAAAACACAACCTAATAAAGTTTTAAAGGGTCACAATGCAACCCATCCAGTTTAAAGATACAAGTTTTTTCTGTTTTGTTTTTTTGGTGCTTTTCGTGTTTACAGTGAATTTACTCATAGAGATACTTACGAAAAAGCGACCATATTTCGGGTAGGAGAAGGAGTAGGTGTTTTACAAAGAAAATCAACACTTTGATGCATTTGGAGAGTGTGTGTGTGTGGTATTGAGTCATTTGAGTACCGCTTGAGACGCAGCAGCCTCTGTCCTCATCAGATCCTCATACACCTCTCCTCCTTCCACATCTCCATACACAGGGTCATAAATATCTTCCTCCAGCTCCTCACTGTTCACACAAACATATTCAGGTTAGGACTTCAAAATTGCTATAAAAATATGAACACAATATGATTGCACAACAGTCAAAACTCTCAGACTTTGCGACTACTGGTTTTTAAATGTAATAGATCAGTGCACTGCTGTATGTATGGGTCTATTTCTACAGAAAATTCCAGTGTAACTTCCTGTTTTGACAACTTACTATTCATCATCCATTCACATTCCTCCCACACAACGCCTAAGTAGGTTATAGATCTCATATAATACTGAAAATATGAATTGTTCTTCCGAAACAAAACATGAATATATTATATATACGTGGGTGACTAAAACCACAAGTGCTAATGAGTTTCAGTCAAAAAATAATATCTCATTGCTTCCGATCAAAACAACTGCCCAATTAGGTTAAGAGAGCTTCATACTTACTCAATCAGATCTGCCAAGTGGATATATATGTCTTCATTTTCAGTGCTTTCCTCTGTGGGAAATGACCTGTGAAATAGGTACAGAATTCTTTGTTTTAGCTCAGAGAATAAGATGATTTTTAATGTGTACAACTGATTATTTTCTTGCATTATAAATGCAAACTCACCTGATTCCTTTCTGTTGTGCAAAAGGCGTATGAGAGAGTTTTGATAGGGTGTCAATGACCTGGAAAGACACAAGCAAGTTGTTAGTTTTCAAATTACTGTAGAAATGTGTGTCGGCCAGTTTCAGTGTTTGGTCTATCTACAGTATAGACCTTTAGCTTATCTGTAGTCATTGTGTTTTTCAGCATGTTTCTCCAGTCTTTTGAGTCAAATATGTATTACGTACTTATGAAAACAAACTGTTCAGAACATCCTCTCCAAGTAAAAAAAGACCAATTAGTAAAAAAAGCCAGCCAAGCAGCCTGTTTTAAAAGATGTCAGATGGCAACATTTGGACATACTGTAAGAACATTTATTTTTACTTTTAACAAGATCGTTGATCATTTTTGTCTGACCTTCACAGTGTTTGTCCCATTTTAAATAGTTTTGTGATGCAAGTTGGTGGAATTTCTGTTGATTTAATACATAAAAAAACCTGCAGCTCTAGGAAAACGCAGCAAAACGAGAACACTTTTGAGTTTTAAAGCGAGTTTTAAAATGTGAGTTTTAAAGGTACAAAATATTAATTGTAAGAGTTGGTGAGATGGCAGAAAACATGCTTACTTTATATTTACTTATTTTGGTTAATAAATATATACACATATTATATATATATGATATGTTGCAAACAGTGAATCTCAATGAAATATAATTTTGAAATAGAAAACGTATTTAGTTTCAACCCCTTATATACCAAAATACTGTACATTTCTAAATGTATTTCCGGGGCAAGAAAATAAATTTCCTTACAGTTGCCTACATTTATGCTAAATACAAATGTGGATGGCCTAATAGAGATCAAAACTAGATTTATAATGATTTATGTTTAATATTTATTATAGCAATATTGCATATATGAGTATGTTCCTTGCTGAACTTTTTTCAAATGTGTTATATGTTCACACGTGTTATAGACAACAAATCAAGTTTTTGTTCACATGTGACACACACACACACACAGTTAATGTCAAAGAGTTCAATTTTGGTCTCATCTGACCACACCACTTTCTCCCCAAGCCTTCTCTGAATCATTAAGATGTTCATTGGCAAACTTTAAACGGGCATGTATATGTGCCTTCTTGAGTAGTGGGACCTTGCAGTAGAGACCTGCACCCTCGGGGCCCAACGCAACAGGGTGCGGCGCGGAACAACTCTTGATGGGTGAGGCGAGAAGAGACTCGTATGTGTGCGGGATGCAGGAGAATAAAATGATTCGCGGGACTCCCGCAAAATAGAAATTATCTAAACATAAAATGTCTAAAACATATAAAGTTATTTATGTGTTGCACAAAAGCAAAAAGAACAACTAATAACAATCAAATTATTATCACACGCAAGCTAGGCAGAGTTTCTATTTATAACACGTGATTAAAGTGTTGCGCAATGTAGCCAATCACAGACTCAGTTGTTGATTTCTGGAACGCAATGGCCAATCAGAGGTGATTAAGTTAGAATCTACTCACCGCAGTGCTGAAATTACGTGCTCACGAATCCTCTCATTTTAACACACGAAGTGTATACATTGTGAAAGATTAATTGTGCATATGTTCATTTTGTTATAACAGAGCTTTATGAGATCGCGATGAACTGAGATGTCATCTTTTAGTGATAATAAAGAAAGCGCTGCTTGCATTCTGCCATGCCAAACCATGCACGCAGCTGCCCATGCTTGCTTTTCAATTAAAAATAACACTGGTTTGTGAATGTTGATGCTTAGCCTAAATAACAAATATTTTATCGGGAGCATTTATACTGGGATGTTGTGGATCTAAGGAGATGATACAGAACCATTTGATGTAAATTTATTTTGCGGGCGGGAGCAGAACAAAACATGAATGTCGCGGGCGGGAGCGAGCCCAGATAAGATATTTTTCTGTGGGAGCGGGCGGGCGTGGGACAGAAACTGAAAAATCCGTCCCGCGCATGTCTCTGCCTTGCGGGTGCTACAGGATTTCAGTCCATTGCGGCGTAGTGTGTTACCAATGGTTTGCTTGGTGACTGTGGTCCCAACTGCCTTAAGATCATTAACAAGCTCCTCCTGGGAAGTTCTGGGCTGATCCCTCACCTTTTCCATGATCATCCTTATCCCATGAGGCGAGATTCTTGCACGGAGCTCCAGACTGAGGCCGATTGATGTATATTTTGTATTTCTTCCATTTCCGAATAATCGCACCTATCTCACCAAGCTTCTTGCTGATGGTCTTGTAGCCCATTCCAGCCTTGTGCAGATCTACAATCTTATCTCTGACATTCTTTGACAGCTCTTTGGTCTTGCCCATGGTGGTGGGAGAGGTTGGAATGGAAGATACAGATTCTGTGGACAGGTGTGTGCACTTGGATGGGTTAAATGCAGAGCACAAATTCCAAGTATGGGACACCATACTTGGCCACACATCACGTCCTTTCTTTTTCCTTTCCTTAAAGTGACAGGACTAATCCGTGTTCCACATGGGCACACAACCAGTCTGAGTGAGCCAGAATTCTTGCTGGTTGGTAGGGGATCAAATGAAATGCAAATCAATCTCTAACCTTTATATTTTATATATAATATAATATAATGCGATGGCGCCGCAGACGGCAGCCTCAGTGTTTGGCTCTCCAGTGTTTGTACTGTTTTTGTTAGTTTTTCCTGATTTTTGTTTCTCAAACACGTTCAGTTTTACCAGGGATGAGTTCCTGAACATTCGGCAGAACACACCACACAATTTTCTACCGGATTTCGTTTTTTCGGGCGTTTTGCTGAACGTTGTAGTTGGTGGAGCAGACGGGGGAAGCGAGTCGGCGTGCTCGTGAAGCTCAGGAAGCGCAGATTCAGAACGGCGCTGCCTAGCATCCATCTGGCGAATCTCCGCTCTCTACCCAATAAAACAGACAAACTTCTTCTGCTCTCCTGGACAAATAAGGATTTTTCACACTCTGCTGCTCTGTGTTTCACGGAAACCTGGCTGAATGACGCCATCCCGGACAGCGCGCTACAACTGCCTGGCTTTCAGCTGTTTAGAGCAGACCGCGACGCAGAATCAACGGGGGGAAAACGCGCAGCGGCGGGACAAGCTTTTACATCAATGAAAGGTGGTGTACAGATGTTACAGTGTTAAAGAAGATGTGCTGTTCCGAACTAGAAGCACTTTTCATTAACTGTAAGCCGTTCTATTCGCCGCGGGAGTTTCAATTGTTCATTCTTGTGAGTATTTACATTCCTCCGCAAGCGCACGTGAGCTCAGCTTTACAGAAACTCGCTGATCAGATCACAGAGACAGAGCAACAACACCCGTTTTAATCATTCTCGGGGACTTTAATAAAGCAAATCTTTCCCGTGAACTGCCAAAATACAGACAGCATGTTACATGTCCCACCAGAGACAGTAATATACTGGACCATTGTTACTCCACAATAAAGGATGCATATCGCTCGGTCCCCAGAGCAGCTGTAGGACTCTCTGACCACTGCCTCGTTCATCTTATACCGACTTACAGGCATAAACTTAAATCTGCTAAACATGTAGTAAAGTCTGTAAAGAGATGGACCAACAAAACAGAGCAGGCATTACAAGCCTGTTTCGACTGCACTGTAGCGGATCAGCTCATGGGGAAATATGAATAATTAACCATAACTAGTTATAATTAACTATTCATATTTTAGATCCACTGTAGATATTTAGCTGACCACTCAGGGTCAACCGTCTTGTCAATTCTAAGAATGTTAATTTCCTGGTTAAAGGCTAGAACACCGATTTTCTGCCAATGAGCCTGCATCAGTGTGGCAAGGCCTGAAAGACATCACCAACTACAATACACCATCCCCCAGCACTGAGGCCAATCAGCCTGCTTCAAACGCTCCACCATCAACCCCATCCCAAAGAAACCCAAGATAACAGGACTTAATGACTACAGACCTGTGGCCCTAACGTCTGTGGTCATGAAGTAATTTGAGAGGTTGGTGTTGGCTTATCTGAAGGACATTACTGGACCCTTCCTTGACCCCCTGCAGTTTGCTTACCGAGCAAACAGGTCCGTGGATGATGCAGTCAATATGGGACTGCACTTCATCCTGCAACATCTGGACAAAACAGGGACTTATGTGAGGATCCTGTTTGTGGACTTTAGCTCCGCTTTCAACACCATCATCCCAACACTCCTCCAGATCAAACTAACCCAGCTCTCTGTCCCTAGCTCTATCTGTAAATGGATCACCAGCTTTCTGACAGATAGGCAACAGCTAGTGAGAATTGGTAAATTCACATCCAACAGCCGCACCACCAGCACTGGCGCCCCTCAGGGTTGTGTCCTCTCCCCACTGCTCTTCTCCCTCTACACCAATGACTGCACCTCTAAAGACCCCTCTGTCAAGCTCCTGAAGTATGCAGATGACACTACAGTCATCGGTCTCATCAAGGATGGAGACGAGTCTGCTTACAGACAGGAGGTTAAAGAGCTGGCTGTCTGGTGCAGTCTTAACAACCTGGAGCTGAACACCCTCAAAACAGTGGAGATGATCGTGGACTTCAGGAGGAACCCCCCTACACTCCCCCCCCTCACCATCATGGACAGCACTGTGACTGCAGTGGAGTCATTCAGGTTCCTGGGCACCACCATCTCTCAGGACCTGAAGTGGGACACTCACATTGACTCCATTGTTAAAAAGGCCCAGCAGAGGTTGTACTTCCTTCGCCAGCTGAGGAAATTCAACCTGCCACAGGAGCTGCTGAAACAGTTCTACTCAGCCGTCATCGAGTCTGTTCTGTGCACTTCAATAACTGTCTGGTTTGGTTCAGCTACAAAATCAGACATCAGAAGACTACAGAGAACGGTTCGGACTGCTGAAAGGATTATTGGTGCCCCCCTGCCTACCCTCCAAGAACTGTATACATCCAGAGTGAGGAAAAGGGCTCAGAAAATCACTCTGGATCCATCACATCCAAGCCATCTCCTTTTTGAACTTTTGCCATCTGGTCGGCGTTACAGAGCACCGAATACCAGGACAGCCAGGCACAAGAACAGTTTCTTTCCCCAGGCAATCTAC